TTAATTCATCTAATTAAGATGAAATAGATAGCTATTAACAGATCTATAACTAATAGTTATCAGAGTTATATAAAAATTAAAATACAATAATTATTCTATAAAATCCTATAACTATTAAGAAATTGAATTTATGATTAAAAATCTTCTGCAAAAAATCTTCAGACCCAGATGGCTTCAATGGCAAATTGTACCATACATTTAAAGAAGAAATAACATCAATATTACACAATCTCTTCAAGAAAATAGAAGAAAAGGGAATACTTGTACATTCAAACTCGCAAAATGATGGCAGCATTTGCTGATACCAAAATCAGACAAAGATAGTATATAAAAAAAGAAAATCACAGACCAACATCATTCATGAACATAAGTGCAAAATTCCTAAAGAAAATATTAACAACTCAAATTCGGCAACATGTAAAAAGAGTACTACACTATATGACCAACTGGTGTTTATTCCAGAATTCAAGGCTGTCTCAATATTCAAAGATCAATTAATGTAATCCACTAAAGAAGAAAACCACTTGATCATACCAACTGGCGTATGAGAAAAAATTCAACATACTTTCATAATAGAAATTTTCTGCAAACTAGCACTAGAAAGGGATTTCCTCAGAGAAAGGGCATTTCCAAAAGACCTATAGCAATAAGGAAAGGATGTTCCCAACCACCAATCCTTTTCAATATACTACTGCAATAAGGCTAGAAAAAGGGAAAAAAAGGCATACAGATTGGAAAAGAAGAAACAAAAACGCCCTTATTCACAGCCAACTTGTCTATATAGAAAACTCGAAGTATCCAAAAAAGAACTCCTAGAGCTAATACCTGGTTTTAGCAATGTCACAGGATACAAGCAACAAGAATCAATCATTTTTCTACATAGTAGCAATGAACCACTGGAAACTAAAAAAAAAAATTTTTAAAACCCACACATTTAAAAATAGCTTAAAAATAAAAAGAAATTCTTGGGTATATATGAAACAAAACACATGCAGGATCTGCATGATGATAACTACAAAATGCTAATGAAAACAACAAAAGAGGACCTAAATAAATGGAGAAACATACTGTGTTCATGGATAGGAAGACAACATACTACAGATGTCAGTTTTCCACAACTGTTCTACAGACTTAATGCAATTTCCAATCAAAACCCCAGCAGAGGCCAAGCATGGTGGCTCACGCCTCTAATCCAGGCACTTTGGGAGTTGTATCTAGAATACCTAAAAATCTCTCAAAACTACAAACAAGGAAATAATCCAATCAAAAAGGGAAGGCCTTACCACTTAACCAAAAAGATATATAGATAGCAAATAAGAACGTGAAAAGATGTTCAACATTTTTAGCTATTGGAGAAATGCAATAAAAACTATGATGAGGATGAGATCCACCACACCCCTATTAAAATGGCCATTTCATCTTGGCATAGTAGGCAGCTTGTCTCATAAAATAGCTATTTATCTTTTTCTACATCAATACCACATTGCCTCAAATGTAATAGTTGTAAAATAAACTCTTGCTATCTGATATGGCAAGTCACTGTTTTCTTTTTCAAAATTGCTTCACCTATTCTTTGCCTTCTCTCCAACCTAATTCAATCCAAATTAATCTCTGGAGTACTCTAGAGTAAAATCAAACTGCTAGGTAATACTTTTAATTAATTCAAACTGTTTGTAGCTTTCTGAACTTGAGGAATGCTACCTTATACTGTCATTTGGACAGGAGAACAAGTGTTATTCCCATTTTACCAATGAGGAAATAGACTCAAAGATTCCAGATATAAAGAGCCAAATGGCAGTGCTATGAAGCAAGGAAACAGCCAAGTTAATACCAGAAATAGAATTTCTGGTCCCCAGTCTAGTGTTGTATTCTCGAACCAACCTGGATCCCCAGGGCCCTGTTTGCTTTTTACCTATATAAAAACCATCTCTATCTCCTTAGGTGGAAAAACAAAGCAAATTTTCTGATCCTTCCCCACAAATGGAGCTTCCAAGATATTAAAAAACTTCATTTCAAGCCAGCCATAGAAAATTAATGAGAATGTATATGAAGAGAAATTTTTAAAAATAACAAAATTTCAAATATTTTTCCAGATAATAAAAGCCTGGCAACCATTTTAATTAGGTATCACAGTTAATTATAAAATCAATTATAAAATCAGCCAAATTACTGATTGGCTTCTTAAAATTGTAATTAACATCCACTTTAAAAAACATTCTCTCTCCAGATTGCATAATGAAATACTACTGTTAAAGTGAACTACACTTAAAATTTGTTATGTAACTATAAAAACATCTATTCAAGGAAAGGAATTATGAACTGCAGGTAATTCAAAGCATAATTTTATTAGCGTGAAAAACAGTGACACAGTTTCTAAAAATTTGCTTGTTCATTTCCTGCATGTGAAACCACAGAAAAGTTTAAAATATTTTATAATATGCATTTACTTTGTCACCTTTTTTTGCAAATCATTGTGCTTTCTCCTTTTTTTGGCTCGTAAGTGGAGTGGGAGGAAGATTGTTTTCCAAACTCTTTAACAAGTTTCAAATTTCTAAAAATAGACTCCAATAAAAAAGGGATATTCCAAATTTATCTGCCTATTGTTATAGTGCATGTCTTAACTAGCCACAGTAGATTTACATTATTTTCTATAGGTAGGCCCAAATTACAGGTGAAGTTTTTTTTAAAGTGGGGTTTTTTTTTTTTTTTTTTTTTTTTCCTGCATTAGCCACATTCTCGCCCACTTTACCACCCAAAGACATTTGCAGTCAGATTCCTGGCAGAAGGCTCAGAACATTCTGCTGCAGATCAGAGAAACCACCACCCACCCAAGACAGCAATTGCCAGCTGTTTATTTTCAGATTTTAGTTAAGAAATATTTAAAGAAATTCAAGTCCCTCTTCTGTTTCCCTTATCTAAAAATCCAGTATTCTTCCACTGGACCTACACAGAAATATTGTGACTACTGATACACCATAGATGTGTCTTTAAATGTCAACAATCTAGTTTAAAATTTTTTATTGTTCAGGCAGGTGTCTCTAATGTTAATTAGTATAGTTAATATTAACTGACACATATGGAAATGGAAAAATAAAAAGGCACAGTTAAGGCATATGACTTAAGTTCCATAAGTCACAGAAATTTATAAACTTAAGAGATCAAGAAACATATAAATTACACATAAAAATAGGCATCTTAGACATGCATATCACCATACTTGAAAGCACAGATTTTTCACTGCCCTTGAAAATGGTGGAATGAATACATGTTTGGAGCTTAATGAAGAAGCTTTCTGAAGAAAATAAATTTTTAAAGTTGGAAGGAAGAGAATTTGGAAGTAAGGACGCTCAAGGATTTTTTTTAAAATTACATGTTTCCTTAGAATTGTTGCTAAATATACATTACATATACATATGTTCAAACACTTATGACTATTGAAGAAGGAACTAACAATCTAAACCAGTTACTTCTAACCTATGGGTCAAGGAGTCAGTGGAAGAGTTGCACGAATGCACATACACCAAGCATTCTCTGCAGTCTAAGACATTTCTCTCACATACATCCCACTATTTTTCAAATATTAACAGATACTAGTTAGAAGATAAGGGGATTTCTGGTTTAAAAAAAACAGATACTAGTATGATGAAATACAAAATCATTTAAAAGCATAGCAGTTTTTTTTTTGTCATTATGCCTAATTTGAATCAACAAATGCTAAAAGCATAATTTGTGTGTTAGAAGTGCAGGGTTCCTCATATTCAAAACAGGCCAGGACTTTAAGCTAATATACAAAGTTCCTTCTGACTCTAAAATTATGATTTTAAGAGACTAAGAACTCCTATGGTGAATTCTTTCGAAGTATTACATTATAAATATGTATACATATGTATATATAAATAATGCTTGCTATGTGCCAAGCATTGACCTAGCTTTTGTTTCAACGATAAATAAGAAATGATTCCAGACTCAAGTTCAAATTCGCAGGAGAGAAAGATACATGAACAGATAATACAACCTAATAAATACTGCAGAACTGTTCCAAGTGCTTTGGGAGCACAGCGATATCAATGCCTCCTGGGGGAGTCTGAGAAGACAACGATTTAAGAATTGGGTTTTGATAGGTGGAAAAAGAGAGAGAGAAGAGTAAGCATTCTAGCTAGACAGGTGGTACAGCACATACAAAGGTATACAGAGTCATGAAAATGCATGGCATGTTTGGGGAAGCGGCCAGTAGTCTGGTATGGTTAAAGTATTTGGAGGGAAAACAAGATGAGACTAAAAAGGTAAAATGGATTGGGATAGACTGTAAAAGGTCCTGAACGACGTGCTTAACAATAGGTCTTGATTATGTCAGCAATATGGTTACTAAAAAGTTTAAAGAAAAGAGAGATATAAACAGACGTGTATTTCAGAATAACTCTAGGGAAGGATGATGGTGCGGAAACCAGTTTGGGAGTGGGAAGCAACTGCAATAATTCTGTCGAAAGAAGAAGAAATAATATAGTGCAGTGTAAGTGGAAATGCAGAACCAAGGATGATTCCTAGGTTTCTAGTTTGGATAGGGCAGATACTTATAACGTTATGAGAGATGGGATACAGGAGAAAGGCAGGAAAAAAAACCCGAAAAAGAGCAACACCCCCTGGAGAGCAGCTTCAGGAAGGGAATGATTATCTTTGTCAAATGCTGAAGAGGTAAACTGAAAGGGGTACCCCTCCCAATGGCGGGCTCCCAGGTGGGTAAGGCACGGAGAAAACACACGGAAGGAGTGTCCACAGGGTTAGGGACAAGGCTTTTCATTAAACTTTCCGCACCTCAGTTCCGGAAAGAGGAGCTCCGCGCTGAGGACCGGGAGAGGAAATCCGGCTCCCAAGAGCTGAGAGCCCGCGGAGGGAAGCGGCTAGGGCCGGGCGCCGATAGTTCAAGAGATGCAAAGCCCCGGAGCGGCCCAGGCGAAGGAAGCTTCGACTCTCCTACACCCGCTCCCATCCATTCCACTTACTCCGCTCTCAATCCCTCGCAGCCGTCGGCTGTAGCGATTAGTACTCAAAGCCTCTACCAACCGGGACCTATGCATTCAAGGGAAGAGACTCCGCGCCCCTATTCGGCCTCTTCAACGAGCAGACGCATAACGAGACAGAAACAGCAGAGGGACTGCTCAGGAGCCAGCAGGGCTCAGCCCCGCCACTGGCCGGGGAGCAACCTCCGCTGATCGCCTCCGACCAGCGATCCCGGAGCGCTGCAGCCTCGCGAGATTTCCTTCCTTGCGTTACCGTAGGGCAGAGCCGACCACTCTGATTTGCGCGAGAGGTAGGGGCAGGACCCTTCTTTGTCCCTCCCTCTTGATCCACACCCAGGCTGTCTCTCGGCCTCTCGCAAAGTCTCGCGAGTTTTTCCGAGGGAAACCGACCTGGGTGGAGAGACCGAGAAGGGGAGACCGGGTGGGTGGGCTCTATGCTTAGGGGGCCGTAGCTGGTTTAGCCGGGGCTGTGGTTGGTACTTCGCTGTTGGGGAGGCTTTTAAGTTGCCCAGATCATTCTTCCCAATGGGTGATTGGGAAGATTAGCGGATAGAAAAATCTCGAGGGGTGGAGGCGTTTTTTTCCTCCTTGGCTCCGCCCTCTTCCTGTTCGGCGACTTGGGAGTCTGGCCCTCTGAGGGGGAAGGGAAGCTTGGCGGGGCTGCGGGAGAGTGCTTTGCGCACGCGCCTGCCCGAGTATGTGAGTGTGTGCACGCGCACGCGCGCGATCCCGCATTTAGGAAGCCTGGGAAGGACCGGTGTACTAGGAGATGAGTGGGGAAAGCATAGTCCCCAGTCTGTGCTACCAGACACTCCTGACCGTGCGCTGACTCTCCCCACCCAGCCAGCAGCCTTTTCCAGAGAGGCTGTGGTTCATAGCCTCTGTTCGTTTTCACTGCAGGACCAGGCACGAAAGTAAGCGAACCTCGATCCTGAGGTCTTCCCTATCCACTCACCTTGTACTTTCCACCCCCCACCCTCCAGCAAAGTGTGTCTAGATTCTAGACTCTGGAAGGTTTCTCAAGGAGAGTTTTGCATGAAGGGGAGATGCGTTTGAAAGCAGCAGAAGAAAATAGCTGGATCGTAAAAAGTCAGTTCGTTTTGATGAACACTTTAGCTGTGCTTACCATGTGCTTTTCGAATGTGGATTGTCTATTCAGCATTAAGATTTTATTAGCGAAGCAAGGGAGTTCCATATGCTCTGTTTTTATAGGAAAAAGTTTTAAAAGTTCCTCTTCCGCACCAGTATGGTGGTAGCAACTAAATTTTTCTGGTCTACATGGTAAATTACTGTGGTGTTTCAAAAGCTAAGAGGGAGAGTGAATTTGGGTTCTTTATCCTAATGCAAGAACCCGATATGCAGTTATCTTAGGAGATGTTTATCATGTATTGGCCTTTCCTTTCGCTGTCACTTCTCCTTCCTGTTAATTGCCCCCACCCCTCACTCCCCTTTTTCAGAAGTCTTGAAACGTTTTTCATGGAGGAAAGCCCAAAAATGCTGGCTTGGGGTGATTGATATCAATTAGCAAGAATCATCAAAAGTGTATTTGAAGTGTATTTGCCATTTATTATGTTTCGTGTATATAAGGGAATCAAATACAATGTATGTAAAAATGTTTTCTTTTAACAGTTTTAAGTTCTTTCAAAAAGCAAGAAAATATGTATGGACTGTAATTTTGCCTGTACCTGGTAGAATGACACCCTAGTACGGTGTAGTTCATTCCTTGAATTTATGCAATTGCTTTCTGGTCATGACCCCATTAAATCTTGTGTTTTGTCGGACAGATTTCTTTGAACACATTATTCATGTTCCCTACCAAATCTTGAGGAAAAGACAATCTTGTTGAGAAAATTAGAAATAATTTAAGATACTAAATGTTGCATATAAACATTTGGCTAATATATTTTTCCCCTCACAGGTTAAAACAAAATGAAGATTTTTTCTGAATCTCATAAAACAGTATTTGTTGTGGATCACTGCCCTTACATGGCAGAATCATGCAGACAGCATGTCGAATTTGATATGCTGGTGAAGAATCGAACCCAAGGAATCATTCCTTTAGCCCCTATATCTAAATCATTGTGGACTTGCTCGGTAGAATCTTCCATGGAATATTGTAGAATAATGTATGATATATTTCCTTTCAAAAAACTGGTGAGTGTGAAGTATAAACAAAATCATGATTTTTGGGATGTACTTAACTGCATAAATACAATTTTTATGTAAGAATTTGCTATAGGTTAGACTTATAACTGTTTACTACTTTAAAATGTACATAGAACTCCCTTTTGGGATTAATATATTATGGGTATTTAATTGGGGCCAAGAATAACAGCTAACAATTATTGAGCACTTACATGTGCCAGGCATGTTCCAAAGTGCTTCTTATTTATTAGCTCCGTTAATTCTCACAATAGTTATATGAGGTAGGTACTATAATTATTGGGGAAATAGTCAAAGTATGTAACAGCGTGAAACAGGGGCTGACCGTGGAGAGCTGTTGGCAGCCCAAGCAGAAGGAATGTTGGCTGTAAGCAATTCAGCAAATTATACTGGTATGTACCAGCTAAATATCTGTCTTGTTTATTACTGCCATGTTGTAGATGTGGAAACTGAGGTAAATGGAAGAAACTTGTCCTAAGTCACATAGCTAGTTAGAGGCAGAACCAGAATTTGAACATAATTAGGCTGGCTGCTTGCAGTTTTGGTGAATATATACTAAACTGCTATAGAATATGGCCATATTAAAAAAAATGCTTTTAAGAATGCAAGTGGGCCGGGCGCGGTGGCTCACGCCTGTAATCCTAGCTCTCTGGGAGGCCAAGGCGGGCGGATTATTTGAGCTCAGGAGTTCGAGACCAACCTGAGCAAAAGCGAGGCCCCATCTCTACTAAAAATAGAAAGAAATTAATTGGACAGCTAAAAATATATAGAAAAAATTAGCCG